GGAAGGCTTTAAAGGGTTAACTTGGACATGCGCACGAACGTCTTGTGCGGGGTCGTGCGCCGTTTTTAGCAAATGGCCGAGAAATGACCGTGAAGCCATGGGCACGAGCAGAAATGGCCGCGAAATTTCGCCAATATCCGTAAATGGGCCGCGAAAACCCCACAGCTGGCCGCCAAATTGTTTTTTTAAGCAATCGGAAATGCGAATTCCAAGGTTCACGAAAGTTCACGCAAGTTCACGGCAAAACACCGTAGTTTAGAGTCTTTTTCACGCAAGTTCACGCAAGTTCACGAGCCCCCATCCCCCAAGAAAAAACACGAAAAGCCGAACAAACAGAATTGGGGTCGCCAGTCCTGAATGTCAGAAGTTCACGCCCAAAATCGGCCAACCACAATCCCAAAGATGGCCCCTGAAACTTGAGAGCTTGAGGCGCAAGAGCCGCGTGAACTTGCCGCACGCAATTTGTGAAGCGCGCCTGGGACGAGCGCTGCAAGCCACTGATGACTAAGGGTGTGCTTGCGGGCGTCCCGAGGAAGTGGAAATTGATTTCCAGGAGCACCCCGGCTTTCTTTATGTTTAGCTTCTTTTCCGGGTTTTCGTGGAGGGACGTGGCTCCATTGACTGCAGGTAATCTTGCCAAGAACATCGTTCCGGAAAGCGGAACTCTGGCGCGCAAGCCCCTAAAAATCGGTCGCGCGTGTCCAGGACATTCGCGCAGGCCCTTGCAGGTCTGAATTGACCATTGGCTGACAGACTGCGTGGAGTTCTCTCAGGATTTCTTTTGGCCGTGAAATCACCAAATGGCTGCGAACCGGGATTTCGTGAAATGCGGCCATGCAATTCCACAAGTGGACGTGGAATCCCGCAAGCGCGACAGCGCCGAAATGACTTGAAACGCAAATATTCAAGGTCAAGAGACGAACCGCCACCCAGTAGCGTGATCAACTGAATGTCCAGGGTTGTCAATACTGTTCCCTACATTGTGCGTCCCACAAGCACGGACAAAGATGCATCAAAAAATAGGGGCTTTGTAGATCCGTTCTGAAAGTATTTTCCTGCAATGGCCCTGTGACAAGGACAGACGTTTTCTTGGGCACGGCGCGACAAAACAAAATTCGAACACTTAGGGTTTCCCCTTCTCGGTTTGGGCCCCTTGAGTTCTCCCGCTGGGCTCTGCGCAAGCGAGCACGGTCAGTTATGTGTTCCCAAACCCTTGGCACACATAGGGGAACCCCTCGGAATCCCTCTTAGCAGATTGCACATGCTAACGGTGAACTCACATTGACTGTTTGAGCAGCCATACACTCTGTAGACACAGCAAATTAGCCAACTAACCTGGATGTGTCTTGAGCTGCCACGAACTTTTCACCCAATGCGTCTGAGCCATGTAATCACACGTTGAAGCCGGCGCATGCCCTGGGCAAAGCTGCCCTGAACTGCTTTTCTATGGCACATCGCGATGCAAATGGGGCCCGCCCGCGGTCGCAAATATCACGAAACCAGTAATCATGACAACCTTCAAAACAGCCCGATATACATTAGAGACTCTTTTGCGAAGGCGAAAATTAGAGTCTTTTAGCCTCTCTTGGTTGTTGAAGAGCTTGTAGTGCTGGATGGAGAGTGCTGCTCGACGTGGTGCTGCTGGTGGATGAACGTGCGGTTGACGTGGTTGTCGTTGAGGCTTGTGGAAGAGCTTATGGTACTCGAGGTGGATGTGCTGCTGGATGCGGTGCTGCTGGTAGATGAACAAGTAGAGGTACTGCTGCTTGTGGATGAAGTGGTTGATGTTGTAGTGGTTGAGGTGGAGCTCCTTGAAGAGGTGCTGGAAGATGTGGTGCTGCTGGTGGATGAAGTGCTCGACGTGGTGGTCGTTGAGGTTGAGCTTGTTGAAGAGCTTGTAGTGCTGGATGTAGAGTGCTGCTCGACGTGGTGCTGCTGGTGGATGAACGTGCCGCTTGTAGATGACGAGGTTGACGTGGTTGTCGTTGAGGCTCGTGGAAGAGCTTATGGTACTCGAGGTGGATGTGCTGCTGGATGTGGCGCTGCTGGTAGATGAACTAGCAGAGGTACTGCTGCTTGTGGATGAAGTGGTTGATGTTGTAGTGGTTGAGGTGGAGCTCCTTGAAGAGGTGCTGGAAGATGTGGTGCTGCTGGTGGATGAAGTGCTCGACGTGGTGGTCGTTGAGGTTGAACTTGTTGAAGAGCTTGTAGTGCTGGATGTAGAGGTGATGCTCGACGTGGTGCTGCTGGTGGGTGAACGTGCCGCTTGTACATGACGAGGTTGACGTGGTTGTCGTTGAGGCTCGTGGAACAGCTCAGGTAGATGTGCTGCTCGACGTGGTGCTACTCGATGCTCTTGTTGACGTGGTCCTGTTCGCGGATGAACTGGTGGAGGCGGCGCTGCTTGTTGTTGAGCTCGTGGAAGAGCTCGTGGTACTGGAGGTGGATGTGCTCGAAGATGGCCTTGAGAGTGAGGTAACCCTTGTCGTGCCAGGCGGTGGCGCCGCAAGCGGACTGGCTCCGCGCAACCGCTGCCGCCTTGGACCGGGACCCCTGCACTGCAGAGTGGACGTCGACGACGCCGCTCGCGACATACTCGCCGTGGCCTCAGACCGCGCGAGACAGCAAGCCGAGACGGTGCGCGCCGCAGGGTCGGACGCGCCACTGCGGCAGAGCTCGCAGCCATGGTGCTGACCGAGCACGATACGCCTGGAGCTTAGGCCGCCAAAGAGAGGACCGTCAAGCCAAACCTGTCAGGCGCCCGACCAGCGGCTGGCTGACGCCCACCCACAACAGCCGGCAGGCGGACCAAGCAGCGCAAGAGGCCATGCGCCACCAGCTGCTGGCGATGCCGCAGGCGGCCCGCGCGACCCGGGTGCTGTGAAAAAGGCCGAGGCGGCTGAAGTAGAGAAGGCGCAGAAGAAGGCCCGAAAGATTGCTGCGAAGGAGGCGGCGCTAGTGGCCGAGGCCGACCGCAACAAGCGGGCCCGCAAGCTAAGGAAAAACAAGAAGCGGGCCGCGGCCCGTAAGACCGCCCGGGCATCCGCCTGCGGCCCGGCGCCAAGGCGGGGGCCGACTTCAGGCCACTGCCCCAATCGCGCTCGGCCAGGCGCGACAGACGGCCGCACAAAGGCGGCGCGCGCCAAGCGGGCGCGGCGCTGCTTTGTGGCCGAACTCTTAGAAACACAGCTGACGCTGCGCTGCAAGTTAGCACCAGCTCAAGCGAGGCGGAGGTGGAGGACCCCCCGGCCAGTTCAATGGGAGAACATTTGTTTCTTCACTAGCCAACAAACGGTTGCTCCAAACCTCAAAGCAATGATCACACCACAGGACCACAAGGGTAGAAAACTACACTCTACCCTGGTGCCAGGGTTTTTGGATCAACCCTGCAAAACGTCGGGGTTTTTCTGGCGTGTCAAGACCAACCCACTTTCTTTTGAACGGATTGAAGGATTGCTGCGAAGGGAAACCAAACGAAAGAAATCGAGTCCTCTTAACCATTTCTAGAAAGACCTTGCTTGCCAGCTTTGAGACTGACCCGTTGAGCGAGGCTTCCGCAAAGGCTCTTTGCCGAATGTCGGCTTTGGAGGAGGCCCATGACGCACAGGGCACACTGCACCTGGCCAGCAGGGCGGGCCCTTCAAAATGAAATAGCGCCCTTTTTTTCTGATGGCCACTGGAGGTGCTTGTACGTTTGGTTTTACACTGCGATTGGTGCGGGTGCAATTATCAGGGCTCCGCGAAAGGACCCTTCCCCATGCATGATCCCTGTGCGGGTACAAGGGGATTTTTTGTGAGCGGGGCGGGCGCGTTTTCCCCAAAAAAATGTGGGGATAATAGGATCTGCCCGACCCATACCTGCCACCTTCACAGAAACGCACGCGGACAGACGAGCTCTGGAAGACTACATGTTTTTTGTTCGAAGGGGCCGAGTGCATTTTGTGTTTGTTGCTGGGCGGGCGTAGGGGTAGCCTCTTATTTTTTGGATAGTGAACGTTTCCAGCCACTCACCTGCCGAAAGTGAAGATCACTTCGTGCAGGGGGGATTAATTGGACCAACCCGGAGAGCAAGCCGCACTTCTTGTTGGGGTCCCTTTCATTTGTCTCAAAAGAGCAAAGTAAAAACGTAGTTTTTTGATCCCTGAGCAACGGTTGGTTCAGGGTGCTTCCCAAACAAGGGGGCTCCTGAAATCGGTTGTTCATAGTTGCTTTCGGCTTGGCCGAAACCTCCGTAGACTCCCCCCACCTTTCGGACGACTTTGCGTAAGTCAGCGTGGTGACCTGTCGCTTCCAACATGCAAGGAACACTGGCTAAGTGGAGTTGTTCAATAGGAATGCAGGACTAGCAAACCGCGGGTTGATGTTGATAGCCCCGGTGTAGATTGATCCAAAGTTTGGTCAACTCCCGCGAATACTCCGCCAGGCTCTGCCTCAATCCAGGGTTAGACTACGTAGCCAATGTACGGGCCCTTAGGAAGGAGACCATGACCAGCACCTGGCAGTATCAGGGTCCGGGATCGTCACAGGATGCAGCCCCTGCAATGTAATGTTGACCCCATATACCCCAGTTTAGTACGAGGAGGGTGGGAGCCTCTCCAAAAGTCGCCTGATTCCAACCAAGGGAGAAGCAACCCCCTATTAGTCGTGGCAGCGAGCTTACTCGAGCCAAGGACCGGCTCCGCTGGGATTGCCCGGGCCTCAGAGAACGACATTCTGGCGGCCAAATGTGAAGAGTCGACCCCTGCATGGGCGTCCAAAGACCCATTAGAGGAAGTTCCCCGTTGAATTCAACTGTCAAACCTCATCTCAGAGGTGCAGTTTGCTTGGATGTTAGGCCTTTAACTCTTGACCAACTACTGGGTTTTCCATTAAACCACTAAAAGTTAAGTTTTTAGCAGGGGAACAGAAAGCACCCGAGATCTATCAGCTGGTGAATCACACAGGGGTTGTCACAAAAAGGGCCCGTTGTTGTAGGGACCCTGGTGACATGTGCGCTACCTTTAAGACGGATCTGGTCTGACAATTCGCGCTGGATGTGTTGGGCTGTCAGAATGGGGATCTTCAAGATCTTCATGCATTCTGCGAACAGAGAATACAATCGCACGACTGAAAGCTGTGACTTAGCCAGCCATGATCAACGCTTGTTTGCAGACCATCACACTCTTGTCAGTGACATCAGATTCAGATGGTGAAGCCCAGCTCAGGTAATGCAAAATTATGGCGGTGGCCGAGTTGTAGCAATCTCGCCGCATCCAGAATCAACGTGCCTTGGCTCGACGGACAGGGACGATTGCTTGAGCTATGATGGGTTTGCACAAGCTGTGCCCTGTTTGTTGGTGTGTGTGTGTGTGTGTGCATCTCTCATGAACAGATGCTTGCCGTGACAATTCGCACATAGTACATCTTGAGTCGGAGTGTTCAGCAATGTTTGCTTACCTTTCAAATCAAGTGAGAAGGGGCTGGGCATGCACCGGATTAATAAAATTCAATGGCACATTATTGATCAGTTTTGGGGACCCCTCCCTGAAGCGGGTATATGAACCTCCAGGTTGTTCGCACCAAAGGTCCGGTGGATTGTGCCCGTGTTGAAGCGGAGAGTGACATGTTTCTGGCACGTCACGGTGCGTTGAGCCAAAGGAACCATCATGGTATGTAAGGTTTGTCTAAGATGGTGAGCCCTCTTTGGTGATTCGAGGGAAACGGTAAGGTACCTCGCCGTTTGAGCGGCCCCCTATTTAAAGAAACACCCTCATTCAGGTTTGCCTTCCGACACTTCTTCTTGTGTTGTCTTGCAGCTTCCCCCCTCCAAGAGGGACCTTGGGTCCCTTCATCTCCCAAAACTGCGGTTCAAATAGCAAGCCGAAGTTTGCCAATCCTGATTCCCATCAAGCAGGATGAAGCCCCCTGGCAGCTGGCTTTTCGTTTTTTTAGTTTCCTTGATGTTTTCCATGGTGATCCCAAAGGAGAGCATCTGAGACAGACCCATCGTTTGCAAAAGATGGAACCCCAGAAGAGGGGCGAAAAGGAGGCCAATGTTTGCTGAGGTCCATGGAATGCCTAATTCATCGCCATTTTCCCTTCACCAAACCGTTCTCTTCAACCCCCCCCTCCCTTTTCTTCAACCTAAAAATATCCCACAGTCGCTTGCCCCTTTTCTTCAATCAAACAAACAAGCAAAAAAACGGTTGTGGGGACCCCTAACTTGCTTCGGCACGTAGGACGGAGCTCCTGGTTCCTGAGCCGGGCAAGGAGCGCCTGCGCCGAGCGCCTTGGGCGGTGGGGAGTGCGCGGCAACGGAGTTGGCAACTTGAGATTGCTTGAAGAGGGGATTCCAGTTTGCAAGGGCTTGTTTGCAAGGCGAGGCGAAGTTCTTGCAGGCCACGCCCAAATGATTGGGAGGAGAGAAGGCATGCTCAGCAAGTTGGCCACACAATTGGCTGGCGTTTGTGTTTGTTGGGATCTTGAAAGTTTACCTGGTTGGGAAATTGTGTGTGTGTGCGGGTGCCACGCGCAGGTTTTGACAATTGTAAATGTCTACGGCTGGTGCGAGGGCTTTCGCTCAACTTGTAGGCGCGCCCTGCAAGCAACCAGCATGAGGTGTTTGATGCGCAATGCCTTCCCAGCTTTGGCAGCAACTGCCCGCCAGCCTTTGCGCCAGACGTACGCAGGGGAGTACTTTCAAAAGGTCTGAACTCCTACGAAGCTCGACATGCCTTTTGAAAGACCAAGAACGGCTCGAGCGGCGGGCTGCGGCTATAAATCCCATATTTTCCTAAAAACTGAGTGAGCCTTCCACTCAAAATGAGTCTTTCTCAAGCTGCGGTCGCACTTCCATGCCAAAACTGAGGCATGTTTTGAAATTACCACTTGAGCCATTCACTCTCAAATTCATGTGTTTTTTTGAGCGGGAGCCGCCGCCTTCCGTTATGAATGCCCATGTTGTTTTTTGGGTTCCATGTTTGTCTCGGTGCGTCTGAGTTCCGCGTTCCTTTGGTTCAGGTGCTGCAGCGCGCCGTGCTGCTCTCCGCCGCAGGGCCGGCAGCTCATAGCCCCTTGGGAAATGGGGCTCAAAGGACCATGGAGAGGAAGACGTGAGACTGAGTTTATGTGCCTTGATTGCTAGTGGGTTGGATGTTTGAACTTTAGACTTTTTGGGAAATCAAGTTGGTGTTTTCCGTGTTGAACCCGCAAAATCTTAGAAGCTTTGTCCAGAGGGGTGAAGAGCAGCCAAGGTGCATGGTCCTGCCAAACAGCACCAGAAAGTGTGTTTGCTTTCTGGGCCGATGGGGTTGTTTGGCCGTCAAGCTTAGTCAGCCCAAGGCCACCAGGGTTGGGCCTTTAACGCGTCGAAGCCATTGCTGAAGCAACTTCTTGGTTGGTGTCCTAAGCAGGGAGAGGAAGAAGCATCTGCGCAACCCGGGACTGTTGGTCCAATGTGGCTGTTGATCAATATTCCTGTCCCACAAATGACCATGGGACCTTTTTCCCCATTTAGTGGAAAATACAATCATTTATGTGGTTTTCCCCAATGGTCATCCCATGCAAAGGACCTTTTGATCAACCCGCCGGTTTTTGGCATCTTTCGGCTGGCTTCAGAAAAACCAAGAAGAAGCCTGATCCGCCGGGATTCTGCCCGCTTGCCAAGGTTGGCTGGAGAGCGACTGCCATATGCCAGCTTAGGGGGCACTGTATCGATTGTTTAATGCTTCGCCCGAAGTGGTGTTCTGCCACCTGGGTGAGCCAATGCGTCACTCGGCTCGAATCGCCCGAAATATATTGGCAAAATGACTACGACGCGGGGTAAAACGAGCTCACACATGAAGGTCCTTACCATGGGTTGCCTTGTTCCCTTTGTGTGACCAGGTCCATGTTCTTTAGCTCTACGTTTAACATATGACTCGCCACTTGGCTCACCCGGCTCGAAGGCAGGCTGCTCTCAGCCGCCTTCAAGGAGCCTTATAACTGGGGTTTGCCTGAGGCAACACCCATGTACGCTTTCGGCCAGCACAGGCTTGCGTCCAAGCCTTGCTCAATGCAAGGCTCTTGGGCGCATTCTTCTGAAACTTTTGAAGGACAAGCCCAAGGCTCTGCATAAAAAAGCGGATTTTGCCCAATGGCCACGGATGTTCAACTTTGGCACACTGGCCATGGGAGCCCGTTCCAGTTGCATGGAGCGGTGATGGGAGTCAACATGAGTTGTTTGCGTGGCGAATGTGAGACGAAACATTTGTTGCCAGGCCCGGTTCGGCCGGCTAGCGAGTTGGCAAAATTTGCGTAAGGGTAAAGACGGAAGTCCCGTGAAGCTTTCTGGATGCCCCTCGTTCTTAGAGGAAACTCGGGAAGCTTGCGCGAAACACGCCCAGCTAGGGCTTGAGGCCTGGACGATCTAGTGAGAGGTCCATCTTTGAAGGCGTGAGTGGCTATCTCTCTTGGGCTTCGTCGGCCAGAAACTGGAGATGGCACAAGGGCATCCGTATGATCAAAACGCCCATGGTTGCTTTCCATTTAGGATCCCTTGAAGAAAAAATTGGACACGACATCAGGCTGCCCTCAAATCGACGCACCCCACATCTCCCCGTCCAGCCCAGAAAGGCGAGCGCGTCGCGTCGCCCTAGGCTCCGCGCCTGCGAAGGCTTGGCGCCAAAGGCGTGCCAGCTCATTGCCAGGCGGGTGGCCAGAACGGTTCGGAGTCCTCCAGGACGGTGGCCCTTTCAAAACCAAAACAGCCAAGAGGGCCAGTCCTCGAAAACAAGGAGATACCCTGGATCCTGCCGGGGAGGGGGGTATGTTTAAGAGAGTTGGAGTCCAGCTCTCCTGAGCCTTCAGGTATCACCTGGGATGCGAGAGGTTGGTCGCCTCCCCAGCCTCACACACCCAACGTCCCTGGTTCATTTAGGAGGATCCAAATCTCTCGGCTGGGATGTCACGGCAAACTAGTGTACTGGCGTGTTTCAAAGTAGCCTCAACCTTCAATCAGCACCCTTGTGTCTGCTGTGTTTGCCGCATTGTTGTGTCTCATTCAGGCAGACACAACTGGTTTTGCTTAGGCCCCATGAACCCCGACCCGAGGTACCTTTGCTTGTTTCCCCAAACAGGGCTAACGGTTAAACCCTTGAAAGTCGGTCGACCAATAGAAGTTTCAGGTACCAGGAAGTGTGGGTTCATTGGTTGCAGGGAATCCACCGTGGCCTCCCATGTTGCCCCATGGGCATGGGGCAACTTTCGTTCTGGCGGTGAGACAACCCTCGCGGCACTCTGTCTTTGGGGTATGTGTTCTTCATATAGACAAGTTAATATTCGTGTAGCACCTGGCTCACAAACCGCTCAGAAGTGGGAACTTGTAGGGGCTACCCGGTTGCCAGGGCCAGTAGCAGCAAGGCACAACGATAGCACAGTCTAGGGCTCTTACTTCGAGTTGAGAGACCCTCCCATTGAAGACGCGTAAAATGAGGCCAAAGGCCAAGCAGTTGCGGGCTTGCGGTGCCAGGGGTGTGGTGAGTAGACCCACGCAGTTCATGGCCATGAGTGAGTTTGTCACCATGGAGGACTTGCACAGCTATAAGACTTGTCTCAACGGGAGTGACTTTGACGACCTAGCTGATTGCAGTTACGTGCAAGGATTTGGACAACGGAATGTGACAGCACATCGGCCAGAGTCAGGCGCAACAGACCCCGCAACCTCCTTGTAACTATCTGTGACTCTAGCACTCAAGACAGATAGGACACGGAGTACTAGTGAGCCTGTGGATGTTCCCGCCGCAGGCATCTTGGAGACGAGATTTTCCCGCTCCTGACATCCCTGCAAGCTGCAAGCCTTGCTTGTTTCATGGGAGTCGCTGACAATGCTTTGGGCAGTCTACAGTTGGTTTGGGAAGGCCAGCACACAACAACCCCATCAAACCAAGGGCGCCAAATGGTCTCGTGTCACATCCCCTTGGGAATGCATGTTTTGTTGTCGCTCACGGCATGCAAAGCGATTGAGCATAGTGCCATGGCAAACCCAAGCCTCATGCAATCCAGATACCAGTTTCTGAAGCTCTGTGGGAGAGCCGGTGGGGCGTTTTTCTCTGGCAGGTACATGCGATCGTGCGGTTGTCGCTTCTTCCTCCCGGCGATGACAGGCAGGACCATCCCTGCTCAGCTGGTCTTGGGTCCGATGTCTTCAGGGGGACTGGTCGAATCTCCCGACTTTGGGGGGCGTCTCGAGGTTTTGGGTGTGCATTTGGAGCGGTGGAACCCGGGAGACGTCCGGGATCTCGAGCTTCCACCTTTTCCCGCCAGCGGGGCACCTCCCAAAAGGAAGAGTGAAAACGGCTCATGCCAGATGGGCCGTGTGCACCTGATTTGTGTGACCTTGATGTTACTGCCAAACCTTGGGAACGTGATTGCACTCACCCCAACGAGCAAACTTGCTTTGTTCTTGCGGGGGGTCAAAGAAAAAGGGCCAGTTGTTCCGCCTACTTTCAAGGAGTCTTGCCTGGTGTGCATCACCATTGCCATTGTTTGGTTTGCAACCTCGTCGCCAGCTTCGAGCGGGCAGTGCCTTTTGACCCTCTTGGTAAAATTTCAGGGGCCTCTTTCTTTTTTACTGTTCGCATTTTATGTGTCCTGTCTGACTTTCAGAGGGTCTAGCTCTGGCCCAGCTCCCTGTAGTTCATCTAGAACTGCTCTTGAGGGGATCCCTTTGTGTGTCAAACACAGGATGAGAGGGTCAACCCAGCAATTGCGTGACCCATATATATATATATATATAGGATATTGCCGTTAACGGAGCTGGGCAAATTTCAGCGAGTTCAGTTGTTTAGACTAGTCAAAAGAATACTCAGGCAATGGCTCTCCCCAGACTTGTTGTTCAGACGCTTGCGCAAGTACCCAAATTTCCGTTCAACTACCAGAAGACTGCTTCCACTCATCCCCCAAACCCGCCATCTCCCAACCCACCTAAAGTTTTACTCTTTTTTAGTCCTTCCCCAAATCGGTTGTGTTTGTCGGAGGGTTCGGCGGGGGTCCCTCAAGCTCGCGCTCCGCTGCCTGCGAGGTTTTGGAGCATTTGGGCGGTGTGCCGTGAGAGGGCCTTGCGGGGTTGTCCCGAGAGAGATCAGGTGCCGGGCTCAGCGGAGTGAATTACTGTGGATGGACGAAATCCAGTTCGCACCACCGAAGAAACCCTGGAATGATTCGATTCCCCTGTAAATACCAACAAACAATGGTTTCCCATGGTTTCAAAGCAGGATTTCGTGCATACACAGAATGCTACTGGTTGAGTTACTGCAGAAAGCTGTACCATTTGATTCTATCAGGCCGACAGCGCGAGGGAGCGGCATGCGCGATCAGCTTTGAATGCCCCCAACGAGACAGGGACACGTCTCCCTGATTCCTCTTGCTTGCGAGGTTTGAGGTTGGCGGGCTTGGGTCCTGTTTCATGGCAGGCTTTGTGGACCTTGGTGGGCAACCGTAGCAGGAGTAATTAGCAGGGTGCCCATTTCAATCTAGCCTTCACTTGTTTGGGGGGATGAACACCATTTATCCACCCGGTTCCACTTAAACTCAGGGTCACAGCAGGTGTCAAGTGAGGGGGGGGGGGGGCTTTTGGCTTCCCGTTATAGACAGCATTGTGCAAAGGGGTCAATAACCCGTGGTCACCGCGGTGTGCATGTGTGTCAAATCGGGGGGAGGGGGGGGGGGAGAAGTGGTGATTTTCCTCTTGGTTTCCCTAGGGAGTCACTTTGAACGTCGCCAGAGGTCACCGCCTTTGCGGCCGCAGTGGCCTTGCAGCGGTGGGCCTGTGCTGCGCAGCTGGCGCGCCGGGCAGGCTGCGGGGGTTGGGGCCGAGTGAGACACGGGGTCGCGCTGCACCGGGTCGCGCTGCGATAGGTAGGGAACGAGAAATGGAATGACCCAGCTTCAAACCATCCAACTGGTGGTGTCCTTTAAAAAAATCCCTGGGTGCATTCCCTCATACCCTGAGCACCGGCAAGTTGGGGTGTGGTGGGGTTCTTATTTTGGGGAAACAGAGGGAGGGGTGTGGGTTGGAAGGGGTGTGGGTTGGAAGGGGTGTGGGTTGGAAGGGGGGTGGGAGATTGAATCTGATGTCAAGGCCTGATTTGTTAAGACCCTTTTTCCAATAAATCCTGGAATTTGACCTGGAAGGGGTTTAGCAGACTCCCATCCTCTTGAAAAAGTTCCTTGTCCACGTCCACGGTTGCTGGAAAAAGCGTAGATAGTACAGAATGTACCTTGCCTGCTAGAGCACTCGAATGGGATTGTCCTTCTTACCTCTCCAAATGCAAGCGTTTAAACGTTTTTCGGAATCCCTGCGCAAACGAGGACTAGCTGATTGTCACAGCCCATCCCTTGCTGTGACAGTTGGAGCGCTGGAGTCTTCTGAGATGCTGGTGCGGACCGAGGCAAGCAAAGAACCTTCCGACTTTGGAGGTGAACCCCTGGGAGGTTAATGAGACAACTTTGCAGAGGCAGGACCCTGGTCCCTGCGTCATTTTCCTGGTTGTGGACCCGTGTTTCTTGCTGAGTGCGAATGCCCTTCTTCGGAAAGGAAGCCCAAAGGATTTGTTCTGCAAATTGCCAAAATCCAGATTGAGAGATTCCTCCAAAGAAGCACGGGTGCAAGGAATGGAGGATCAAGCTTCAGACTGTCAGCATGCCTCACTCAGTGTACCCTTTTCCGGGGTGTTTGTAGAGATTCCAAGGAACCCCACCCATCTACATCCTGTGCCAGGACAACCTGTGTGAAATCCTATTCAGAACACACCAACCTTACGTGCAGCTCAACCTTCATTGTTTGACAGAAGGAACTCCAAAAAAGCTTTCGATGCCACTTGTTTGTCAATCTTAGTCTTCTTCATTCCATCCATAACCAAGGCTCACTTCCCTGAGTTCACGAACTTCAGACTTTTCAAGTCCAAGGTTATTTTGTTGCCCACCTCGGAAGATGGTTCCGGAACCCGCCCTACCAAACAGACCCTGGCGGTACGTCGAACATGATTCGCCTTTTTGATTCGCCGTGAGGCCAGGGGAACGAACTGGATCTCGGCGTGTGGATGGGCAGCCTGGCGCTACTCCTAGGCGCACGGAATTTTTGTTTGCCGGGAGCGCGTCCGTTGGTCCCTTGGTTTTATCTGAAGCTTTGCGAGTCGAAGCGAGGAAACATTTTTGGCGAGGTGCTGTGTGGGACATGCAAGCCCGCCATTGTTTGGGAAGAAGTTTTGGGGTGTGTTTGGGAATATTCAATGAGCTGACCACGGTTTGATCCACCCCTGAAACTCTACAATGACTCTTCCCCACCACCAAAACACTTCAACAGACGGACCCGACGGGGATTCAACATCTAAGAATCTAAGTGCAAATCCAGACGCCCGAAACAAAACAACACGGATAGCCATGATAACAGCGCTGGAACTTCCGGCATATACGTTGGGGCTGTTTTGGGGGAGTGGGCAGGTGCCCGGTGCAAGTAAACCAAGCATACTCACCCACGGCAGGTCACGGGTAAGTTGGACGATTGCACAAAGAATTAGATGTACAATATGTGCAAGTATGCACAAGTTCTTTGTTGTAGCGTGTCTGTTGAATATCGCAATTTCTCACAAGCATGCAAAAAGGAGCACTCGAGTGTTCTCCTGGCGGCATGTCGGGGCTGCCTTCCAGGCTTGCGCGGTGGAGCTGGGCTGCGTGAGGGCTTGAAGGCGCTCGAGGCCCAAGGGAGTTGCCAGTGTGATCCGGACCTCACCGGAGTTCATGGACTTGCGTTGTTTTGTGGGTTTGGACTCCATTTTGGTAAACAAACATTTTTTGGGTTGCTCCATTTTAGTGGTCAAACAGGTTGGACTTGTTTTGGCCTCAGAAAGTGAGGCACTGGAAGCACCCACGGCTCGAGGCATCGGCGCGCTCGCACAAAGGCAAGAGCCGTCGACACAGCGCACTCGGGTTTGTTGAAGCCTAGGTCGGGTGTTTCCAAAGCCAGGCAGTCTATGATTCAACCAAAAGCGGTACGGTTGTAGTTTGGAGGGGTTGGACGGAGGTTGATGGCTTTTGGCATGGTGCCGCAATCAAATGTCTTCACGTGTGTTGGTGTCGGTTCTCACGCAGCAAATGAACCCAGATTAGAGTTGTGCCGGCGATTCGGCACGTCCGCTTGCGCTGCAAAGGATTCGGCTGCTGCTTTCTTGTTTTGCAGCTCCAAGTCTTCTGTCCAGAGCGCAAGTCGTGTAATGTTTGATTTCATGATGTTGCTTTGCTTGCTGGCGCGATAAGTCGGAAAATGTGAGAATGAACCGGAAGACACCAGTGGAATGGATTACAAGGTCATTCCATGTCTCTTCCCTGCATCTCTCGCACAAGCAAGTTTGGGATTTTCGGAAACACGGGAAACCACCAGCAAGGCTAGGTCAAGGCAGGTCCCCCAGTAGTGCCTTCTCTCCCCTTTTGTGGTCGGGAGGGTTCCCCTACTAAAATAGACTACAGACAAAAGTTGGTACCCTCTCAAATCTGGAGGACCTAGGCGTGGTTTGGTGCTTTGGTGCTTTGGTGCTTTGGTGTCTTAGCATAGTTTCCCGTTGACCCTCTGGTAGTACAAGATCTGGCACCCACGGGTTCCGTTGAATGCCTGAATCCGTTTCCTTCTATAGGGAGAAGCACTGGGTTCCAGTTGAACCCCATCCGTTTGCTTCTATAGGGAGAAGCACAGGGTTCCCTGAATTTCCCCGTTTCGGAAGGGATGGGTTTTCTCTCGTCCCACGTGTCTCCTCGACACCTCAGGCGTCGCCAGCCCTTTGGCGCGGCAGCTCCTCACCTTCGCGCTGGTGGCCCGGCACCTCCGCTCAGGCGGAGTGGCGGAGTGGCGGAGTGGCGGAGTGGCGGAGTGGCGGAGTGGCGGAGTGGCGGAGTGGCGGAGTGGCGGGGGGGGGGGGGGGGGAAAAAGGTGGGATCATGGACGACTGGCCCCCTGCGCTTATGCACTTTGGCGGTTTTTCGGGTTTGTCACCATTTTAGTGGCAGACACCGAGTTTGGACTTGGTTCGGCAGGTCCATGCAGGGAGAAGCAGAGAACATGCGTGCGTGGTTTCGAGGGTCCGTTTTGGGAGTCCCCCTATGTCTGACACGTGCCCATGTCCGGGAACCAGGTTCGGTGAGTGAGCTGCTTGTTTCAGGCCATGGCTTAAACCACTATTCTTTAAGCAACTTCCTTGAGGTTTCCTTTTGAAGTTTCAGAGGGAGACCACAGGGTGGTACCAAAAGGGGCATCTCCAAATCGTGCATGTCTTACTTTGCGACGAAAGCGAGCCGGCTGGACTTGAGCTTTTGGTTTTCCATCTTTACTCTGACTCCACAACGTTGAGCTTGCATTTTGAGATTCCCTGGCAAGTGAATCAAGGGGTCCTGCTTTGGTCGGCGGGTTTAGTCTTGTTTGGGGGAAATCGCCCCGACTACCCTGCGGCGTTGCCAAGTTTATGCATCAGGGTCAATGGCCCCACCAAGGAAACCACCAAAGGCCTTGACTTTTTGGGACAAGCTACCCAGGGCCATGAGGCGCTAAGTGGTGCTGTAAACGGCCGTAACAACAACATCTGAGCTCGGTCTACGGGATCGCAGGCATTGGAATCTTCAAGAAACCTCAAGGCCTCATACTTGCTTCTTGAGCATTACGTCGGGCAAGCAGGGTACTTCACCGTGGCAATACATGACTGGTTACAGGGTATGTAACGTCGCAGGTATGATGCATCCATAGCTTTGCCGGGCTGGTATCAAACAAAATTGCGGCATGGGTCATGACCATAAACAATCATGTGTGTGTGTGTGTTTATACTCATTCCTGGTTTCATGAGCACAGTCACCCACTTATATACCCAGGACGAGTGAGGGGCAATGCGAGGCCCCGTGCTGCCGTGCCTAGCACCTCTCCTGGCAACCTTTGAGGCGGGGTGCTGGGGTTTCGTTCATTTGCAGGTGATGTCTGCGGTGGTGTGAGCTTCTTCTATCTGTCCTGCTGCAGATAGAAGCAGTTTCAATCAAACGAAGGAGCCTATACAAAGATGCAACTGCATGCAGTTGAGGCAATCCTGGTTCGGCCGTAGGCTCGCCGTAGGCGTTTGAGCACAAGCTGTTGTTTCACACCTTGCATAGGCTTCTCAAGTTGGCATTTCTTGAAAGAATGTCTTTTCAACGCTGTGCTAACATTGGTCCAAAGAGAAATGGGCATGTTCCTTTTGGCTCCCCTTGAACACCACGGGAAAGAAGGGGATATCCTTTCAAAAAGGACAGACCCATAGGGGGTGATGGTAAGACAAAAGGGAATGTTGAGTGCGGCCGAATTTCGTTCAAGAAACGGGCGAAAAGACGTCTTCCCTTTGTATGACCACGGAGCCAAGCGTTTGCGAACTGTGCGTCTTCCTGATTGCCAGTGGGGTCTCTGAAGTTTTCTTTTCGCCCTGAGGCCTCCAGTCTCCTGAATGGAAGGTAGGCATGTTTTGAATGAAAGGTGGTTCAATGCTCTGTGCCAAGTACAATAGGTGTCGCTTCTTTGGCCTTCCTTCGTCTCTGCTGCAATCTTTGCATAGGTTCTGGGTTGCCTTGTGTGGGCATTTGCATAGGCTTTGCAGGCATGCTCAACACCTCTGAAGGCTGCACACCGCTGAAAAGCTGCGATCAAGCTGGAGCTGCCAAAAGCTTCGTGCAGTACACTTGCACTGAAAAATGTGTGATTCTTGAGCAGGAGCTGCCTACGTGTACTTGGCGTATTGTCATCTTGCGGTGAACGTTTGCCAGCACAAGCGTCCGCGTAGGCACCTTTAAGGACGCGCGCAGGCTTTGTGCAGGCTTCACGTATAGGGTCTGAACTGCCGGAAATATCTCGGTTGATGTATATGTTTCCTTGTTGGCGTTCAAGGGAAGTCAAGGGAAGTCGTGACTAATGATGGGTTGATGTTCTAATGGCTTTGGAAACTCGAAAACGAGAGGGTCGCAGATGCTTGCCTCCCCTTTGCTAAGGCACGGCAACTCTTCACCTACCTTTCTGAGAGAAGGAATTCCTGACCTTCTTGTTGGTCGCTCTTCGGGTTGGCCTTGAACCCTGTCCCTTTACTAGTGAACGGGCTTGTTCTTGGATGGTGGAGCTGCTATATCGTCCTTGAAACCAGCCCTAACAGACACCACCAAACAGCTTCGCCTTTGTGGGGAGTCAAGCCTCAACCCTGCAGGTGATGAAGATCAGTGGTGGTGACACCCGATTATTCACGGTTGACTTGTTGTCAATATGTTTTATGGGAAAAGAGCAAGATGATAGTCATATCAATCCACAGAATGCCTTCTCAGCAAATCGAGGCTTCAGGCTTTCGTTTAGGGCCCCATTTGTGGGTGCCATCGCCGTGTCAGGTCCCTGCGTCGGCAAGGCGATGCAAGTCAAGGTGGGCTTGAGTTCAGACTGCAAAGCACATAGAACCATAGGACATCTTTTTTTAGGTCAGTTTGGTTGCAAATATACAAGTTCTACTTGTTTCGGACACTCCTCTGTGAGAAATCGGACAAACCGCACTGACCTTGTTCCCGTTCAATGCGGTGTCTTGGTACTCGTGAGCATCCTATGTGGCGGCAATGTGGCCAGCAATTCGGGATGCTTTGCTTGATGACAATATTGAGCTTGCATGTCCTTAAGAATATATTTTCCCCTTGTTGGTTGTAAATGGAATCTATCACTACTGGACATATGTTCTCATGCTTTCAGGGGTTCTCATGTATTCAAGGGCGAAAAAGCAATTGGGCGATGGTCATGCATTGGAAATCGAGCCTGTGAAGTCCTCATTCCCCAGATTCTTTTGGGCAAGCCAAGTCTCATGTTCGGCCTGTCCCATTCCCTGCGGCTCAGTTGCTTAAGACGCCACGTGGCCAGCGAAGTTGTTTGTCGAAGGCTGCAGGAGGAGGTCCTGCAGAGTTTGCTGATAGCCCAAGCCTTTGAGAGTCGGCGAGTGGTGATGGATGTGGAATCTTCAGTTTTAGGGGCCCCTTCTTTGATATAAAGTAGTTTTGGGCATGGCCCAATTTGGTATCACAGAAAGCGCAGTGTCCAACCAGCATAAGCTAGCATTGTGCTTGCGGGAGGCTACCGTGAAGATCAGTTGTTTCTTGAATGCGCTCCTGGATGTGCAAAAGGGACTAACATCAGCAGCAAGTCCCACAACCACCCTCGACTATTGATATCCCAGAAGCCAGGTATATGCTGAAAGTTGTTTGAGCTTCGGGTTAATGCTGTCCCTAAACAGATGAGCCTTCCCTTTCGGCAGGGAAATGCCTTGGAATATGCTTCCCCCCTCTCCCGAACTGGACTTCAGGCAGCTTGAAGCACCCGCTTTTTTGCAGCGTCGGACGGTGGCAAGAACCTGGTATCAACTACAAACGCCACCAATACCCCTGACTTCTGAGGTGGTCCACTCTGCCGCCAGCCCTATCAAAGGCCAGCCTTGGATCAGCGTGGAGGACCGACGTGCGCGGCAAAAAAACATGAGATGGCCGTGATCTGGTAAGCGCTCCCTTGTTGGGATGGGCGATCTATGTAGTGTCTTGCTGTTGTTTTGTGTGTTGGTGTTAAAGGGAAACCAAATCAACTTTGGGGTCCCTTTGATCAGTCACCAAAAGCGGTCTATTGGGAGACAGTATATAGCCTGGGAGTGCCTAGGTATGTTTCGCAGAGCTAGGCGGAGTGGCCAGGGATGTGTAGAGACACTTCCCTTGACAGATCTATGAATCGGAAGTTTAAGTGATTCTGCTTTGGGGTCTGGTCTAGTGGTCTGTGAGTAAATCTTTCCTCACATCTTGGTGCTCACAACAAAAGCAACCGCCAGAAGCTTGAGCCTTCGGCCATTTTGGTGTGTCCTTTTGGGGGGACCACTTTTTCAGGTGGTGGTTCAAACAACACCATTTCTGAAAAGCAAGACAAACAAACCACGATTTGTTTTAGTCAGGGTACGACATGTGTAAAAGTTCTTGAAGCCCCAGGTCAGGACGAAACCCGACATGGTTGGGTTGAATCCTCGCTCATCTTGCGCGGCAGGAGCCCTGTCTTGTGTACTCGGTGGACCTGCTCATTGCAAGCAAAAAAACGCGAGCGAATCGAATCGATCTGGCAAGCCGAGCTCGCTGTCACTCGCGAAAGTATTCCCTTGGTTCGCGCACAAAGGTTTTGGGGTCCCACACAAGGAGATTAGTCAACTGGCGGTTTGTTCGGCTCCATGTTGATCCGCGCGGAATGAATCGGAGGGTTGGTTTCCCCAGCACGTTCTACAAACATGTTCATTTGGGTTTGGCCTGTTTTCACAAGAGAAAAATCGATGCTCCACGGGATTCAACCCCCCTGCCCCCTTGTCTTTGTATCAATGGGAGAAGGGATTGAAATTCTATGCTGTAGTGTTACGTCACCTGCTTACAGGATCCGCTTTTTGTTTTGAGACATGTGCCACAGCGTTTAGGCGCCCTTCTGGAAACATAGATGGCACTTCTCGAAATTCGAACCTAAACTGAAGCCGCTGCCATTCATTTAAACTGACCCAAAACGGCCTGTGCATTTCCATACCTCTCAGGAAAGCTGCTCAATCTAATCATTGCTTCTGCAGCTTCACCAATCCCAGCCCCGATATCAATGCGAAGTCCCAGAGTTGCACGGGCTCTTCACCAAAGCACTGACATTGCAGTCAGGCATTTCAGTGCGTGCGCAGTGAGACATGCAACACGGCCGGCTCAAGGCGTGTGCCTTCCGAGCGTAAACCTGGCAAGTACAAGGCGCTCGCCGTTCAACTGGTGAGCTCTCGTCCAAAGCAGTCCACAATGCCTTGTGCTCATCCGACAAAATGAGGCTTGCCGGAATTGAACGCACCTGCACATGGCTGCCTGCTGTTTAGACCAAACAACAAGGATCCTAATGTATCCAAATGACAAACTCTCGTGCAAAATTGGCTGACTCGCCCAGCATATAGATATATATATATATATATGTATGTGTATATACATATATATGATGCGTTGGGGTTTGCTTGGTAGGTTGCTCCACAGAAAGTACTCAGACATTCTGTTGGGAGTGGCATGGTTTCCGATGTAAGTAAGCAGCCAAAATTCCTGGGGCAGGCCATGTCCCTTTAGAACCCACTTGGAGCCTATATCTTGCAAACCCAACCTTCACAAAGGGGCGGAAGAACATGAGCCACCGGCACACTCTCCTGTGCTTCGCCCGGGATCCATCAGTATGCTGCGATGGCTGCCTCTTCTCACGCTGCTTGGCGGTTCCCAGCCACGCTCTAAGATGTTTCGAGTAATTTGTGACACACCCTGAGTGGCTTCAGGCAGCAACAGCCCTCCAAGACCCAAGTTTAGGGGGTCCATGGAGTGTGGTTGGTGATTTATCTTTTTCAAGATTCTGGCCAGTTTGCCCAGGTGGCACCCGAACAAATAATTAACCACAAATGGCATTATTCAAATAATGGCGGGCAACATCATTTCGTGTTTCATTATTTGGACGTTTGTGTCAAATAATGCAAATGGCAGAGGCTGGTGAGGGGGGGGGGTCCAAATAATGGCAACGGAAATCATTTGGCCCTTCCTGCAGCGTCAAGCGGTCACTTATTTTTGTTCAATTGGGACATCGACTACTTTTTCTGGAAGTGGCCTTCAAAACTGGTCGTTGTCACAATCGAGCAGTTTTCTGAGAAACGAACACTTTTTGTAAAAAAAACAGTGTGTTTCCTACCTGTGAAGCATTTTTGGGGCAGCTGAGCCTGCGGCTCTAGGCACCGCCTAGCGTTGCAAATCCTGAATTTCGTGCCGTTAAGAAGTGGAGCCAGCACAGGGACAGGAATTGGAAGCAAGAATTGGCCTTTGGTCTGACCATTTTCTGTTGTTGTGCAAAATTGCGCCCCAAAAATGCCAAAAACCCGCAAAACGGACGCAAACACCCGCAAACAGACGCAAATCTCAAAACGTGGTCAAATCTAGAATTGCAGGATCACACAAAACCAGCTCTGGTTGCCTCATCAGCTGGCGAACCCGCGGGTTTCAATCCAGAAGTATTGTTCACCCGCATGGCAAGCCAGTTGGGCCGTCCGTGCAAAACAACAGCCTGCAAGGATAGCCACGACCCTTTTCCATAGAATCGGTCATTTTCTTTCCAACTTGGCCCAACCGGCCCATATTTGTTCAGTCGGCCAGAAAAAGTGTGACAAACCACATCGAACCAAAATAAGTGTTCAAATGAAGGTGCAGGTTCATTATTTGAATAATACTAATAGCGGAGGCTGGTGAGCGGGGGGGGGGGGTCCAAATAATGAATGATGCTAATAGCGGAGGCTGTTGAGCGGGGGGGGGGGTTTAAATGATGGCAACGGAAATTTGGCGGAGGCTGGTAGGGGGAGGTTCCAAATAATGGCAACGAGTCAGCGGAGGCTGGTGAGCGGGGGGGGGGTTGAATGATGGCAACGGAAATCATTTGGCCCTTCGTTATTTGACTAATAGTAATAGCGAAGGCTGGTGAGGGGGGCGTGGCAACGAGAAAGGATAGTATAATTGTAAAGGAAATTATTTGGTGTTTCATTACTTGATCACTACTAAGGGTCCAAATAATGGCAGCGGAAATCATTTGGCCCTTCGTTCTTTGAATAATGCTCATGGCGGGGACTGGTGAGGCAAATATTGGCTGCGGAAATCATTTGGCCCTTCGTTCTTTGAATAATGCTCATGGCGGGGACTGGTGAGGCAAATATTGGCGGCGGAAATCATTTGGCTCTACATTATTTAAATACTAGTCATGGCGGAGGCTGGTGATGGCCAGGTAATCATTTGGGCATTCACTCTGGGGAGGGGAGGGCGGGGGGCCAAGAGAGGCCTGTGGGAGAGGGGAGCGGCGTTGGCCTGCAAATCCTCCCTACAGGCGCCTCGAGCGTAAGCCCCGCAGGAGCGACTTGCGAAGAGCGCCTGCCCAAAACATTGCACGCGCGCGAAACATAAAAGGCCCGTAGGACCCGCGCCCGACCGCGCCGTTGAAAGCTCGAGAGCGCGCAAATCCCGGCCGCTGAGAGGCCAAACGACCAACGGAGGCAGGGAAGGAAGAAAAGTGCCGCGGGCGACGGCGGCCTGGTGTCACGTTGAGACCCGCTTGTGCTGATGCCGCAGAGCTCCCTCAAGCAAAAACAGACCCCCTCGCCTCCCGCCAACTGCCCCAACGCCATGGCGCGTGAGTGTGCGACACAAACCGGGTGTCAGTGCGAAGACTGCGCCCGGAACCTGACCCTGCAGGCTGCGGAGGCATGCCATCGCGCAACAGCCTCGGCGCTCCCTCTTCCAACGCGCAGGTCAAGCTGACCTTGGCAGAGGCGTGGCCGAAGCTGCCTGATAAGGCGTCGTTGCGCGCACACCTCAGCTTTGTTGACATGCACTTTTGATATTCAAAAGTCGCGCGACGCCAAGGCGAAGCCCGAGCTGCGGTGGCAGCACGCCTAGGGCGGGAGCCCCGGGTCCTCGCGCCGCACGACGCGCTCCTGAAAAAACTGGGCTGGGCAGACCGCCGCGTAAAACGCAAGCCCGCTTGACGTCTGACCTGCCAGGTGGTCACTGCGGCTGGGCGAGGAACAGCGCGGAAAGCTCGTCTTTGGGGAGGATAGGTCAGGGCTCCTCCAAACTCCCGTCGCCAAGTCCAACAACCATGTGAGGAGCAAAAAGCGAAAAAGCTCTCTGCCGGCGCTGGCTCGAGAAGACGCAGTGTTTTATTCATGTCGGCCCGTACGGCCTTCTTTCCGGAAACGGCGTCCAGCAAAGGGAAACAAGCGCATCCAAACACACCTACACAAAACAAACCGTTTGTCACGCAAACCACTTCTTTCTTTGTGTTGGGGGGGGTGTGGAACAGCGCATTGGGCCTGTTTTGGGGCAGAAGATTCAGCGCCCTTCTGCTACTTAGGCCCGGCGACGCTTTATCTGCATGCGTGCAAGTCTTGCGCGCCAAGATGTTTCACTCTTAACAGAGACGCGCCCTGCAGTTGTCTTCTTGCCTTGCTCGCCCGGCAAGGGTTCTGCGAGCGTCGGCTGTTCAGAGGCTATTTTCAAAGCTAAAAATGTATTAAAATAGAAGGCAGGGCTGGCTTCGGAGAAAGGCGCGCGCGGCACACGCCACAGAAGGCGCTTGCTATGCAGTTCGCGGGGCCACGCTCCCCAAGAAAGGCTGGATCCACGTCACCCAGCTAAGCCCTTCGACAGCGCCGCGGCAAAGACTCTGGCCTTCCTTTTTGCAGGCCTTCAGCACAGAGTTTTGAGGGAACTCCGCGCAGAGTCATAAGCAAACCCATGACCCTCTCAGAGATGTTGCGGATCAGCTGCCTAGATACTGAGCACTTTTTGTTTCCAATTGTTGGTTGCGGCCCGAAGACAAATGCAAATTCATTTGCTTAGCAGGTGGACGCATTCCATGCGGAGCCGTACTCTGGCATGTGGTGTTTTTTTTCTGAAGGGGGCATACACGTCCTTTGGTTTGCAGGCATGGAAAATTCCTGATTCCGAGTCGGGGTCTGGCATGTGACATGTTTTTTCTGACGGGAGCAAATATCCTTTGCTTGGCAGGCAGGAGTCCTGATTCCGAGTCGGTGTCTGGCGTGTCCGTGTGACATGTTTCTTCTCAGGGGACTTTTACGTCCTTTGGTTTGCAGGCAAGAAAAGGTCCTGATTCCGAGTAGGTGTATGGCATGTGGCATGTTTTTTTCTGAAGGGGGTCCTTTGGTTTGCGGGCAGAAAAAAGTCATGATTCCGAGCTTTCTGAAGTGGAGGGGACAAATGCGTTCTTCGGTTTGCAGGCAAGAAAAGGTCCTGCTTCCGAGTAGGTGTCTGGAATGTGGCATGTTTTTTCTGAAGGGGGTCCTTTGGTTTGCTGGCAGGAAAAGTCATGATTCCGAGTTTTCTGAAGGGGACAAATACGTTCTTCGGTTTGCAGGCAGGAAAAGGTCCTGGTTCCGAGTCTGTGTTTGGCGTCTGGCATGTTTTTTCCCAGGCATGGGCAGAACGTGCTTTTCCCAAAAGACATGTGAGTCCTCTAGCTTAGCGTTGCCTGCTCGTTCTCGAGGCATGGCCGCAACGGCCTCCAAGCATGCCCTGCACGTGGCCCTGGACCCGCTTCTGATGCTGAGCATGCTGCAGAGCATGGGGGTGTTGACCGACTGCTCCAACCCGTCAGCGAAGATGGCCAAGATCAAGGAGATCAAGGAGCGGTACAACCAGAGCGTCATCTTGAATCCGAAGCTCAAATTAGAGAACTCCATGAACACGGTGGTCTCCAAGCTCATGACTGTGGACACGGACCTGATCCAGTCCCTGCGAGCTGACGTTGCGGAGGCGGGGTCTTTCACGAACATCTACACCTACGGGTTGTTCAGCTTCGGAGGGCTTTACCCGGGGATGCTCGCCAGGGACACGTCCCACAAGGAGTGGATGCCGGTGTTCACTGGGAGCAAAGCGTCCTGGCGACTAAGAACCACTGTGCGGAGCGGCTCCGCACCTCCAGCAAAGCCCTGACTGTGCAGGAAGCGGTGCTCTTTTGCAAGCGCAACCTGTCTTGAAGGTGATGCTGCTACTCTATCTTCTTGTGCTCTTTGCGCATATCAACCATTGTGTCTACGGTGGATTTAGGGACCCCTTCATCCAGGGACCACCAAGTGGAAGGAGTTTCACAAGTCGCAACATACAGGAGTGGGGCGGGGGCCACGTAGAAGCAAGCATTTGGTCGGGGAGTTGTGATAGAAAAAAAGGAAGAGATTTGGTCAGCAAAGAAGTTGGAGGCCCGGATCTATATTGGTTCCTATACGCCTCCCACACAATTCCCATTGAGGAAAATCCTGGGGGAGGTATATACAACCAAGTGCAGAAGTTGACTCGCTTTCTGTTTATCAGCGCCGGCCACGCAGGGTAGGTTTTGGGGAAGCTGACTCATCTTGCGTTCTCCTCGGGTTTAGCGCGGAAGATCCCAAGTGATTAGCAGTTTTACACGCGGGGCTGTGTTTGCAAGCGGGGGTCCTCAGGTCCCTGCATCCTCCCTTGACTGTGGCCAACACAGCTTGCTTGCTTGCATGCTGGCTTGCTGGCTTGCTTGCTTGCTTGCTTGCTTGCTTAGCGCTGGCTGGCTGGCTGGCTTGCTTGCCTGCTTGCGATGTTGCCTGCCGCTTGCTATCCACGTGCCTGCCGCTGTTCCACTTGCCTGCTTGCTTTTTGGTTGCCTGCTTGCTCTTCGTTTGCTTGACTTTCTTCTGCCGGCACGCCTGCTTGCCTGCTTCCCTTACACGACGCCTAGGCCACGTGGTCAGTGAGAGCCTCGTGAAGCTTGTTCTCGACGGCACCAGCGCCATGACGCAAGATCTGTGGCGCAAGGAGGTGGCTGAGAATCGGCACAATGGCTCGCTTGACAGCCTGTACGAGATGGAGCTTGCGGAGAGCTTTAAAATCACCGGCATCAAAGACTTTGCTCAGCAGCAAATCCCAGGCCTGCGAGCCATCCTGACGCGCGAGCAGCTCACCTTGGAGGGCAAGATTAGTCGCGACTTGGATCGCCCAGATGCCGCCGCCTCTTACGCCCAGCTCTTGGAATCAGAGTACGCCCAGTACGCCAAGTGGTTGGCGGACGTGACGGAGCGGTAACACGGGCTCAGAAGAGGAGATTTAGTCTATGCAGAAGAGGGACAGAGATGCTGTGCAGAGGGTCACTGAGGACTACCTCACGGGGTAGTCCTTGGAGATGAGAGAAGCGCGGAGAGCATGGACCAGAACATGATCAAGGGAGGCTTCGCGAGATTTCACGCGCTGAGCTCAAGCGAGTTGCCAAGCAAGGGCCCGGCCCAAGTGAGTGCCTTCGCTAGGAGGGCTACAATCTGGAGTTCCCCTTAAACCCTTGAAATTTGGTGGCAGAAGGTCAGAATTCCAGACCCTCCCTTTAGTCGTTCTAGAGCGCTGTTGGCATTCCCCTTTGGACTGAGCATCCACTTTCATGCTTCGGTCGAGCCTCGCCGTGTTCGTGCGCGTGTGCTCCCTTGTATAAGGTGCGCAGCGCTGCGTTTGGACGCCGAGCTGACAAGTCATTTATGATCAGGCAATTCGCCTTGTGTGGGAACCATGGCAGCATTGATTTTTTCTAACAGCTATGTGATCACTAACGGTGCATCCCTACATGCTTCACATGCCCTCTCAGACTCAGGACTGCCACGGATCCGACGTGAGGCGATTGACAACCGAAAAGCATGAGACATGGCTTTTCAACCGGACTTCTTGCTACAAGCAGCGCTCAGACAAGAGTCGCAAGCGCGGGCATCGGGTTGGCAGTGAAGCTGCCATCATCGCCAAGCAGAAACATCATTTGCCAGGGAGGAGGGCGATGCAAGAAACTTCTTGGCGTCACGTCCAAAAAGTTGGGCCGCTCCTCTTGCTGGAGCCCCCAGTTTGCAAAGGTCCGCAAGCTTGCTGACAAGAGAGCTGTGGAGCGGGGTGCTCTTGCCAGAGGTGGCCTGGCTAGCTTGACGGTTGCTGCCTTGCGGCCTGGCCAGATATGGACCCGAAGAGGCCAGCAAGATGCTCAACACCCTGAAGGCTTGAAGAGACGGTGGCTTGTTTCCACGAAGATCCGTGTGGTGCTGGGCTGCCAGAGCGTCTCGCCCAACGCAGAGAAAGGAGCGGAAACGTCGTTTTTTACATTCCTAGAGGTTAGGAGCGAGAGTCACTGCCAAAGCGCATAAGAGTCCACACGGTAGACTCCGCCGCCAAGGCGACTGGAAGGAAGCCTGGCGTCGGACAAGCAACCGGAAGACTTTAAGGCGGCAGCGTGGATCAACTCCTTCGGGGGGGGGGGGGCGCCAACATGCCAGGCATGACGTTTTGGCAGACCTTGACCATTGCATGGTTCGCTTGTCCAACACATCCGACACAGAACAAAACGACTGAGTGCATTTTTACTTTGCCCTGTTTCGTCCCTGCCAGGATCACTGGCAGTTGGAGACAAGGCGCGGGTTGAGCGGGGTGATTAATTCTGTCAGTGAGTGTTTTCTCCCGACCGCGAGAGACAGTCAAAGGAGATGAGCCTCTACCAGGCTTGAGCTGGTTTGCTCTCACCCTTCTTGCGTTAGATTGTCTCCGCCTACGACGCAAGCAAAAACAAAAAGGGCCTGTTGAAAGACACTCAGAAGCAGCAATCGCTTGCGAGCGGAGCGCAGGCAAGTCCCGCAGTTGAACATTGTCCGCCGCAGCTTTTTTGCGCGCCAACGCATCGCAGCAGTCGCATTAAGATGCCCGCCAGCGGCTCAGCGCAGAACTAGGACCAACCGAAATTTCCATTGTCAAGTCGCCGCAATGTGGCGCGCGACCGGCGCTGGCCACACCGTCTTCAGCGACGAGGTGGGCAGTCAACTTTTTTCGTTTCATCTCGCAAGACTTGCCGCCAGGGCATGGCCGCCGTGCAGACTCAAGAGATGCGCGCGGGCATTGAGGCCAAGGCCTGGGGAGGCCGCGATGCGCTGGCCGAGTTTGAGGATGCGCAAGAGGTGAAAGAGTGAGAAGCGATGAGGAGAGAGAGGGAGAAAGGAAAAGCCCCCGCTGCCCAGGACGGAAATAATAGTAATGGTTGGCGAGTGGGGGGGGA